CTATTTTTTGGAAAGATTACATAAGATTTGTATTAAAGTGGTATTAATTTTTCTTTAAATGTTTGGTAGACTTCTTCAGTGAAGTTATCTGGGCCTGAAGATTTCTTTTTGGAAGTTTTAAAATTACAAATTCGATTTCCTCAATAGTTAAAGGGTTATTGAAATATTCTATTTCATGTGAGATGAGTGTAGCAGTTTGTTTTTTGAGAAAGGGGTCCATGTTGTCTATGTTGTCAGATTTATTTCACTTATCCTTTTGATGTATACAAGGTCCATGCTGATATACCTTTTTTCATTCCTGACACTATTAATTTGTGTCTTTTTTTCTTTCACATTTTGCTAGAGATTTGTCAGGTTTATTGATCCAGCTCCTTGTTTTATTCTTTTTCTCTAATTTTTTTTCTGTTTTCAATTTCATTAATTCTTGTGCTTTATTATTTTCTTTTATTATTTTCTTCCTTCTACTTGCTTTGCATTTATTTAGCTTTCCCCCCTTAAGATTCAAGCTTAGGTATTATTAATTTGAGACTTTTCTTCATTTCCCTTGTAAGCATTTAGTGCTATAAATTTCCCTGTCAGCACTGCTTTACTGTGTTCCACAAATTTTTATGTATTTCACTTTCATTCAGTTCAGTGTGTTTTGTTTTCCTTGAGACTTCTTTGCCTCATGGATTACTTTTAAGTGTTGTTTTCTTTCTTTTACTGATTTCTTATTTGAATCCATTATGGACAGAAACATAACTTCGTATATGTTCAGTTCTTTTAAGTTTGTTAAGATTCGCTATATGACCCAAGGTATATTCTATCTTGGGTGGAGTGTTTTTTAAATATTGTTTAGATTCTGTTGATTGATGGTATGGTTGAGCTCTTCTCTATTCTTGCTGACTTTGTGTATGGTATCTATTAATTGTTGAGAGAGAGATGTTGAAGTCTCTACCATCGTAGATTTGTCTGTTTCTACTTTCAGGACTATCAGTTTTTGGTTTGTATATTGTTAGCTGTTATTTGGTGCATACACATTTAGGGTATGTCTTGTTGGTGAGTCAAAACTTTTATCATTATATTATGCCTCTTTCTCACACTGGTAATTTTCTTTGTTCTGATGTCTGTTTTATCTGCTATTAATATAGCTACTCTAGCTTTTCTTTGATAATGTTTGTTTGACGTATCATTTCTATCCTTTTTTTTCAGTGTGTCTATGTCATTTTAATTGAGGTGGGAGTCTTGCAGACTGTGGATGGATGAATCATATTTTTCAATCCATTCTGCCAATTTCTTTTAATTGGTATCTTTTTTTTTACATTAATTATTTAAATGTTAGGGCTAATCCTGCCATTTTATTATTTGTTTTCTGTTGACTCTCTCTGTTTTTCATTCTTGTTTCTTTTTTCCTGCCTTCCTGTGGGTTACTTGAATATCTTTTAGGATTACCTCTAGTGCTTTGACTTAGCTATAGTGTCACTTGAACACTTTAGAAGTACATTTTGATTTATCTGTAGTGTCTTTGACTATGTCCATAGTGTTTTAAAATTTTTCTATGGTGTTTTGTATAGCAATTTTTGGTGGTTGCTCTAGGTATTATATATACATAATTAATCACAGTCTACTGGTGTTGTCATCTTACCAATTCAAGTGAAGAGTAGAAACCATGCCTCCCTTTATTTCCCTTTACCCTCTCCCCTTTATAATACCATTGTCTTAAATATGTTCTCTACATACATTTAGAACCATATGAGACAGTGGTATAGTTTTGCTTCCACCATCAAACGTAATTTAAGAACTCAAGAGAAGGGAAGCTTATTGTACTCATGTTTTTGCTTACTATGTTCTTTCTTCTCAATGTTCCAGTGTTCCTTCTTTTATCATTTCCTTTCCATTTAGAGAATTTACTTTAGCCATTCTTTTAGGGTCTATCTGCTGGTAACACATTCTTTTACTTTTTCCTTATCTGAGTACGTCCTGATTTCTCCTTCATTCCTGAAGGATATTTTTACTGTGTAGAGGATTCCAGGTTGACATTTCTTTCAGCACTTAAAAAATGCTGCCCCCCTTACTTCTGGCTTCCATGCTTTCTAATAAGAAATCTGCTTCCATTCTATTCACTCACATAAGTAACGTATTATTTTTCTCTGGCTACTTTCAAGATTTTTTTTCATTAGTTTTCAGAGGTTAAATTGTCATATGTCTTGATATGGATTTCTTTGGGTTTATCCTGTTTGAGATTCCACTCAGCATCTTGAGTCTGTAAGTTTATGTCCCTTGCCAAATTTGGGAAGTTTTCAGCTATTATTTTTTCAAGTACCCTCCTTCTTTATACTCTCCTTCCAGGACTCCAAGTGACATAAATATTGTATCTTTTGTTACTGTCCCCCAGATTCCTGAGTCTCTTCTCTTTAAATCTATTTCCTTTGCGTTGCTCAGATTGGGTGATTTCTGTTGTTCTGTTCTCCTGTTCAGTGATATTTTTCTTCAGTGCTTGACATTCTGCTATTGAGCCCATCCACTGAGTATTTTAATTCCATTTATTGTATTTTTAGTTCTAAAATTTCTATTTTGTTCTTCTTTGGATTTTCTGTTTCTTTGGGGCTTTCATATTTTTTCATTTGTTTCCAGCATCTCGTTATTGTTCATAGAAACATTTTTATAACAGCTGCTTTAAAATCTTTTTCAGATTATTTTAATAATAATCTCTCATTATGGTGTTGTCATATTCATTGTTTCATTTTTCATTCAGTTTGAGATCTTCCTGGTTCTTGACTTGTTGAGTTCTTTTCAACTGAAACTTGTTACGTTGTATTATGAATCGCTGACTTTTCTTAAACCTTCTCCTTTATCTCATTTTCTCTAGTACCACCGCAGAAGGAAAAGTGGGGATGCCACCTTGTGACTGCCAGGTGGAGACAGAAGTTCTGTTTCCCCACTCAGGTTCCACAAACACTCAAAGTGGTGATGACTTCTTGTTACTGCTGGGTGATGGTAGGAAGTTCCAACTCCCTATTGTGGTAACCCATGGTGGGAGTGGTCTTGTTACTACTGAGTGATGATGAAGGCCCTGACTTTCATTAGATCTCCTCTGACAACACTTCACTGTAGATGGAAGGGGTGCCTCATTAATACCGGGTGGCAGCAGAAGTCAAGGCTTCCTAAATGGTCTCCATTGACACTCTTAGTGGAGATCTCTTTACTGGCCAATAGAGATGAAAGTCCTGGACACCTACTTAGACTTCTCAGGCTGGGGAATTGAGGTGCCTTATCACAGCTTTACAAGGCGGAATGTCTAGGTTCCCCACCTACCCTCTGCTGACATGGACGGGGGTGGTGCCAGTTTTTTTCTGTGGTGTTTGACTTCAGTAAAGGCAGTTATTATCTACCAGCTACCTGTCCCTAGGCTGTCCCTGTTTTGGTCCTTTGGCTAAAGAAATCAGGCTTTTGTTGGGGTATTTTTGTCTGTACCTGTTGACATTGCCAGGTTGCCTACTTCTTCAGCTCCAAGTCTGGGCTATAGGAAGCAAGAATTCCAGGGAACTCACTACTGTGTCATTCTCTGGGTTTCAAGATCCTTAGTTGGTCTGTCTTATTTCTACTTTTCAGTTTTTTATATTTGTTTTTATAATGTCTGGTATTTTTAGTTGAACTTACTGGGAGGAATAGGAAAAGTACACTTACTTCATCTTCCCAGAAGCAGAAGTCTAGTTGATTTTTTTTTCCTGTCCAACTGATTTTTGACAAAGGTGAAATAAGTTGCAAAATATTATATATGCCACTGTATTTATATACCATATAAAATATCATATATCAATCTTTCAAAAGAGAGGAAAAACTTGGGACTTATATGTAACCATTTTACGTAAGTAATTGTATGTGTATATTTGGTTATTAGAGAGCAAGCTTAGAAGAAAACACACCAAATTGCGTATTTTAGAAACAAGTTAGAGAATAGTATATATCCTTTCCTTCAGGGATACCGATGACATAAATATTAGATCTATTGTTATTGTCCTGGGATCCTGACATCATGATCCTAGAATCCCATGATGCTAACTAAGTTCCTCTGCAAAAGAAAATTTTAAAAAGCTGTATTCAAAGGGCACCTGGCTGGCTCAGTCAGTAGAGCATGCTAGATCAACCCTCTTGATCTCAGGGTTGTGAGTTCATGCCCATGTTGGGCATGGCATCTACTTAAAAAGAAAGAGAAAGAGAGAAAGAAAGAAAAGCTGTATCTGATTGTATTGTTTTGTTTTTTAAGACCTGAAATGCTACCCACCAAATTGTTGATATTGATTCGCTATAGTAATTAATCGTGGAGTACATGAATTTTTTTACTTAATGTACCTAGCAGTGATTGAAATTTTTATAAAGAGCATATAATATTTTTATAAGCTTCTTAATAAATAAAAATAATTAATGGACCTTAAGAGTACTAAGCTAAGTGAAATAAGTCAGAGAAAGACAAACACTGTCTGATTTGACTTATATGTGAGATCTAAAAAATAAACAAAAAAGCCAAGCTCATAGATACAGAGAAGAGATTTGTGGTTGTTAGAGGCAGGTGATAAGAGTGGTCAAAAGGTACAAACTTCCAGTTATAAAATAAATTAAGTCATGGGAATGTAATATACAGTATGTTGACTATAGTTAATAGTACTGTATTGTATATTTGAAAGTTGCTAGGAGAGTAGATCTTAAGAGTTCTCATCACAAGAAAAAAAATCTTGGGTAACTATGTAACATGGTGATAGATGTTAACTATACTTACAGTGATTATTTTGCAATGTATACAAATATCAAACCATTATGTTGTACACCTGAAAGTAATATGATGTTATATGTCAATGATACCTCAATTTAAAAAAACCGTCAAGAAAGGAGAAATTGTTACAAGAAAAGCACAATATCCTAACCAATGAAATTCATCGCCAACAACTGAAATAAAAAAATGTATATATACCATGTTAGTATGTAGATTCATGGTATCCTGATTCTTTCCCCTCAACACACAGGAGTAAATGAAGAAGAGGAGAAGAAAAAAGCAAAAAGCAAAGAGAAAATCAAGTTGAAAAAAAAAAGGAAAAGGTATTTTTTAACATCATTGTTTTTTAAAAGCAGGACTGTGAATCCCGGATGGATTATAAAAGTTTATTTTTTGTGTGTTGTCCAATTAATTTGACACTAATTTTTTTCTTAATGGGAATTAGATATTCAGTTATTTCAGTAAAATAACAAAGTCATGAATCAAAAGTTGATACTCAGCCATCTTTTTTTTTTTTTTTTGGAGCAAATTAAGGTATAAATAAATAATAGCCACCCTCCCTTCTTTTATGTATTCTAGAATTTTGAGTTTAAAACATCAGCCAGGCTTTTAATTGGATGATTTCTAAATTCTTTACATATATATTTTGTCTTCATATATATGAAATTGGAGCTTAAATATTTGTATTCTCAAAATGTCATTGCCATGGCTACAAAATTAAGTTATTAATATGATTTATATACTCACGATGCTGAAAATTCCTTCAGGTCTTTCACAATCCTCATCAGCCACTTATGAGTTTTTAGTATCAACTCTTAACAACTGACTGGTTAAAGAAATTGATCAAAAGAATTAAGAAGCAGTTTCTTTTATGGTAAATCAGTGCAGTTTCCCTTACACTAGAGTAAGCATACAGACAGACATTTTTTAAGGCCCTTGACAGTAGTAATGTCTGGCTTGGACCCTAGTTCTCTAACAGAGTAGGTTCTACAAGTCACGCATTACTTCATAGAGCATTTAATATGTACATTTTAACACCTCAGCTACTTTATAAATTGGAAAAGTTTGTTTTCTCTCAAATGTTGGGAGTTAAATAATCTTTAACATAAAAACTAATAGGAAGGTAGAGCTCAGTGTATTTTGTAGTCTGACTCGTGTATTGTTCAATCATTTGCATTAGCACAGCAAGATGGATTGCTTATAGGAAAAATGAAATGATCTGGGCGCCTGGGTGGCTCAGATGGTTAAGCGTCTGCCTTCAGCTCAGGTCATGATCCCAGGGTCCTGGGATCGAGTCCCACATCGGGCTCTCTGCTCCTTGGGAGCCTGCTTCTCCCTCTGCCTCTCTCTCTCTGTCTCTCATGAATAAATAAATAAAATCTTTAAAAAAAAAAATGAAATGATCTATTTTCTTCCAAATTCTAATATACTTGTTTTATCATAACAGATTATTTATTCAAGACTGGGGTCTCACAGATCTCAGGCAGGGCCTGAAATTAAATGAACTTTTCTGGGCATACTTAGCAGAGATTTTGCCACCTAATAGAATTGTTGTGTGCAAGTCTAACACTGTATCTTAAAAATGAGAATCCAGGACCAAAAAGCCAAAGAAAAACACACAGGCAAAGAAGCTCTAGTCAGAATCCACAGGTCAAGCAGGGTCTTTAAAACAGGAAAACAGACAAGAGTTGACAATAATGGAGTTGAAGAGGGAACTAGAGAATCCATGAGAAAATAAGCCCAGGAAACAGCCAAAAGTACAAATAAGATAGACAAGATGGAGGGAATACAGCATCACAGAAACAAGGGAAAACTCGGAGTTCCTAAACAGGATTCCTGAGTCACTCTACAGACCCGGCCTTATATAGTCTCATGCATTTATTTTTTCCTTCCTGTATGTCTCTTTCAGGTTTTCTTAGTTTGGGCTTTAACTTCTAATGGTTAGATCACTCAACTATCTCTTGAGGATTTTAAGTTGATTCAGTTTCTGTCTTGTCACACATTTAGAGTTTGGGTATGGGCAGATTATTGTATACCTGTTTATGTAAGATCTTAAGAGATGGCTTCTCTGTTTTGTTACTTTTCTTTTCTTTTTCTTTTTTTTTCATAGTAGAGGAAGGAATTATATAATTTTCCCCCTAATTTTTTATTAGAGTAATATTAGAAAAATAAAGAATAATGCTATATCATCTTCATTTATTTATATTCATTCAGACGCATTCAAACGCATCTTTTTGTAACTAGTGAAAATTACTTTGGAATGCAAGTGCTCATCTGTATCACTCTGCATCTAGAAGATTGAAGTATTCTGACTTGAAAAATCAAAAGAATTAACAAAAGTGCTTTCCTTTTGCTAATTTTCAGCTTTCACCCATTGATACCAAGGTACAATTGCATCTTTTTGTAACTCTTTTAAGAGACTTTGCTAACAACTTATTGCATATGCGAATGAATTGTATATATAATAAAGGCTTGGTAAATGACACTTGGCTCAAACCTTAGAAGATTCTGAAGGGTATGACAGGATGAAAAACTGAAAATCACAGAAAAATCATTATATCCTTACTGAGTTTAAAACTTATTTCTAGAGTTGAGCAGAATAGAGTTACTTGTCAGTTTCTGTGGCCAAGGAGCAAAAATTCCAAAGTCAGTATTTTAAGAGAATACAAATATATAAAGCACATTTTGAGTTTCTTTATTTATACCCCACCTTGCTCCAGAAATGATTTAAGGCAATTAAAATCTCATTTAAAATTTACCTATCAGCCATAAATGCAGTTATCAGTCAGTATGTATTATTGCCCATAGGTCTTACTCATCCAGTTCCACTGAAGAGGACACTTCAAAACAAAAGAAACAAAAATATCAGAAGAAAGAAAAGAAAAAAGAAAAAAAGAATAAGTCAAAAAGGGGGAAACATCACAAAAAGGAAAAAAAGAAGAGAAAAAAGGAAAAGCATTCTTCCACCCCTAATTCTTCTGAGATCTCCAAAAAGTAACTGAATCTTCAGCCTAAGCCATTAAATTTTTAAATTTGGTTTTGAAAGTTATCTGACCTTCCTTGGAATTTGCTATATAATTATGCTTTGCAATAAATCACAGCCTTTTCCATATAGACTTTTTTTTTTTCATATTATATGGGACCATTGTCGTCTGGCAATACATTTTTAATGTGCTAACTCTAAGGTATTGAATCAGTCTTATTACTTGGTAGCCATGTCCCAAGTATAGTTATTTGTACATACAAAATACATTATTTTTGGTATTCATGACTCTTTGTCTAACTAGTGTTATTACTTCATAAGTTGATTGTAAATGGCTTTACTACAGTCAACACAGGTGTTCTACCTAGCACTTAATATTTGCTGAATCAAGTGTCCACCTTGCAGTGATAAAGTGAGGTAGGGGATAATGCTTTGCTCTTGACTCTGAAAAATTTAATAGCTTTATATCCTATGATAATATATAAAGGTAGTGAAATTTTTCACTGTTGTTTTTAAATCTCAAGCCTTTTTCGGAAGTCATAGGAGATGAAGCTGTTTTATTGGTTTTAACTGGGACATAAGAAATGAATGGTGTTGGCAGGAAGATGATAATGAAAATACTTATAAGGAATTTTTACTGTTACATGAAACACAGAGTGTCTAGTACCTGCCTCCTCTATTATTGTAACAATTACAATTTTCTTCCTTGTTTAAAAAGACAAGTGTAGCTCAGCCTCATAGAGATGATGCTGTGTTGGGTAGAATTTTTAGGATAGACTCCTGGGTTGTTTTACAAATGTGCCATATTGGCATCTCTTCAAGTGATACCTCAAACACAGAACTTTTTAATTAGGAGAATGACAGCTAAATCATCGTTAGAGCTGATTTTTATTGTATTCTGTATGTAAATTTTATGAAGCTTGTTTCTATGAGTAATGTGGAAAATTTTTATAAATGTGAACATATATATTTATTTGTCTAAAATAATTTGTAGTTTTGAAGCAGGTTTCACAGTGAATTTATGGTTTCAAAAATGACCAGTTTGGGGTATTTCTCTCTTTTACTTCAGTCATAGACCTTAAGAGCAGTGACAAAAATTTAGGATTAAGAATTTTATTCTGTACTTTTTAAAATATAAGAGCCAGGGAGTTGCATCATGAAAGCCTTTATATAACAATGGAAATTTTATATGGGTAAGCATTTTCAAACATACATTAGTAGATAGAAGTGTTTCTTACATTTTTAATTTCACAATGATCAGTGCCCCTTACTTTGCTTAGTTTTTAGATAGCCCTGACACCCACTGAGTTAAACACTTACTGTTGTAGCAACATCAAACATCACTCAGTTATCATGGCTCAGCACCAAAGACTGCATGTACGTCACTGTGGTGCAGTTAGAAATTTTCAAGTTGCTGACCTACAGACATGGCTACAGGTAAAATCATTTTGGTGAAATCAGGTAAGTACACGTAACCCGACAAGCTGGAAAGGTGTACTGATTCTTTGTTCATCCAGCTCCCCTCGCTGGCATGACCTCAGTCAGAAGGGCGGGTGGAGGGCAGCTTCCTAACTCCTCATACCTGTGCTTACTATATTCCCATTCTAGGGAAGCTATGCCCACAGCCCTACTCTAGCGTTATAGCCGAGGAAGTTTTCACACTTCTAGCTTTTCCATAATCTAATTTAGTCAGATGGCCTCCTCAAAAAGAAACCCCCCCCTTTTTTTTTTGAATAGTTCTATCAGTTGTGGAAGAGAAACAGAGTTACTAGGTTTTTAAGGGTTTATTTGGCCTTTGCTGTATTTTACGTATTTTTTAAACTGCATTTTATGAAAATACAGTTCTTTGGTTATTATGATGAAAAAAATAAAGAAAAATTTTTAAAATGATTGAAAAATTTACATGCACAAGGATGACCTCATCCTATTAAGTGTGTAACATGGTTTAAAATGCTAATAATTGTAGTGAAACAAAGTTAATTCAGGTATTGGTGACTTTTATTTCTGTTTCTTATTGTAGAGATTATAAATTGGCTCATTAGATTTGTTTTCTGAATGGGGACACAATTAATAATGGTCCAGAAGAGTTATATAAAATTCAGCACTCATTAACTAAAACAGGGTGCAGATTAAAAAAATTTAATGCTCAGTAATTTTTTCCACTAGATAATATTCTTGGAATTATTCTTAAGTAAATTCCCCATAGTATGAGAATAGTTTAAGAAATCTCTCATCTGAATAAAATTCATTTCTTTTCACTAATTTTCTTCTAAAGTGATTTTGTTGTTGCGATTGGATACAGATCTCACTCATAAATTTTAGAAGATTAGTGAAATTTTCCCTGAGGCAGTATGTAGCAGAAGGAAAACTGAATTTAACAGTAAAGTCCAAAAAGTCCTGGCCTTTCTAACCACCTGTGTGACTTTCAACTAAATCATTTAGCTTCTCTGGGCCTTGGTGTCTTTCATCTATAACATATTGTACCCATTTATTTCTGAGACCTTTTCCCCTCCTTAATGTATATGCTTATCAATATTTTAGTACAATTCAAGTAATATTCATTTTAGAAATTATTATAGGTAAGAAGGTAGCATTCTGTAATGGTAAAGGTTGAATTTACTAAAATAACTGTTAATTAAACACATTCAACTTCTTTAAGCAGATAATTGGTATTTGGTTTACATTCTTACCAACCAATGTGTGTCATTTTCGCTAGATGCATTTGGAATTTATGTTTAGCTTTGTATCTGTAACCTGATTATCTGAATACTCTGAGGTTATTGCTTTTAGCTAATGGATCTACCCCCCCACACAATTCCCTCTTTCTTTTCTCCATTATCATCTGTTGGCTAAAATCTCTCTGAGGTATCCCTAATTGTTCACCCTTCATACATATCTGTTTACATCTTTGGTTCTCTGAGGTCAAAACACCAATAAATAAGGAGTAAAACAATTTATGTGTCTGTATTTACAATTCACTCTGTCTAAAATTATATAATTCTAGGTCACCTTCAATTAAACTAAGTTGCAGAGTTACTATAATGTTGATAAAAATGCCATCAATTCCTTTCTTCAGCAAACGTTGGTTGAGCACCTGGCATGGCAAACACTCTGCTAAGTACCGGCGATACAGAGATTCATAAGACTCCTTTGCTTCCCCAAAGAGGTTCCTAGTTTAGTTGGTAGGAGAAACAGCAGAACACATCACTGTATGATAAGTGCAGTAATTGACCTGAGCATATGTTTATAGAAACACAGAAGGCTACTTAGCTTGCCTGGAGAAGTTAGAAGAGGCAACCTAAAGAAAGTATTGTTTGACTTGGATTTTGATGGAGGATGAAGGTGGAAGCCCTGGCAGTTACGAGTGCATACTATGAACAGAGACCACAACAGAAAAAACTGAGTTGTGTGCATGTCAAGGATTGCAAGCAATATGTGAGGAAGGAAGTGGGAAGAATTGAGACTACTACTGAAGGTTCACAGGAACACGAGAAAGCAGTCTTAAGTTCCATGTTTGGAAGCTTGGACTTGAATCTCATGAGACACCATGAGAGAGTTTTAAGGAAAGAAATTACTTTTATTGAGGTTTGGTTTCATCCATTTCAAAATCCAATTAAACAGTTTTTAAAAGATGAAATTGCTCTCATGAGAAGGCCACATAGAAAATAACTTGAATCTTTCATGTCCTATTATTTGTATATTCCTGTTACGTCCTCTTCTAGACCCACTTTTCTTTCTAAGATTTGATGATCACCAAAAATTCCATTGACTTGTCTTCTAAAAACACATAAAGCTACTATATTCTTTATCAGACCCATCCCCAGAATGACCTGCATATATGCATACTTGGAAATGTGCTTTGTTTTAAATTTTTAGGATTATTTAAAAAAAATTTTTTAGATTATTTTTGACTGACTTAAATTCTGTCACTGGGTTAGTATTTGTTACACTCCAAAAAAATCATTTAAAATAGTTTTCATTGTATAGACTTGGTTGTAATTTGATGAGGCTTCTCGCTTTCTTAATATTTTGTCTCAATCTGTGAAGCACCACTGCTTCGAAGTTACAGAGACACATACCAGTTGGTCCATTGGTTGAGCCCGGTGGCTCTCCCTCAGATAACCTGGTTTGGCAGGGACTATAGCTAGTACCAGTGCTGGGATTCCATCTTCCTGGGCAGTTGGACTCCAAGGAGAGTATATGTCTTAAGCCAGCTTGATGATAATCCCACTTATGAAGCCCAGGAGCTGCAATCCGCGACACATCCAGCCATGCCCAGCCTCCGTATCTCTCACAGGTTAGGACGAGTTTGGGGAGCCATGAGCATTTTGCTGGCCTTGACCAGTTTGCCTGCTTCCTGGGTCATTTATGGGATCAGCACTTGCCCTTGAACAGCAAAGGTAGAACTGTACCAGTGCCTTAACTTGCTCATCCTAGGTTTTTACCTGAGGCAACATCTGATTAATAGTGTAATTTTGAATATCTGTGTATCCAGACAGCCAGTGTGAAATCCAGCATGGCCAGTAGATGTTACAGTAATGATCTTGGAGCTATGCTCTCAATATAGCCACATGTGGCTATTTAAATTTAGATTAATTAAATAAATAAAATATAAATGTATTCTTCACTTGCACGAGCCACATTTTAAGTGCTCAGTTGCCACATGTGGCTAGTGGCTACCATGGACAGTGCAGATATAGAAAGAACATTTCCACCATCACAGAAACTTCTGCACAGTGCTGGTCCAGAAGACATCCCCACTTCTTGGTAAAAATTTTGACAGCCTAATGGCCAAAAGTTTCTAAACCTGAGATTTGCATGCCGAGAGCAGTAGGGCATTCCTTTTTTTTCCTCTCAGACCAGAGAAGCCGTATTTGACACATTTTGAAAGGCTAGTCTTTCAACTACAGTAATTTTATACAACACGGTGGATGTGTTGGAAAGAGCCAGCTTTTAAAATTAATCCTTTTTTCCTAGTGAATTCCATTAGAAAACAAGGTCTGTGTTCTTGTAATAGAAATCATACTTAGGAATAAAAATCTTTTAAGACAATTATAATGTGCAGAAACCGTAGTTTTATTTCTAGACGTCTTAAGTGGTATTAATGCAATAGCCTTAGGTGGGACTAGAGAACTTATTTTTTTATAACTTTAATTTTAGAAGTTCTGTAGGAACTTTATCAGTGAAGGATTTTTGTTATGGTTATCCCTTGGTATGCAGAAAATATTATGCAGATTATGCATTGTGACCTATTTTGTTATTGAATGTTAGGTTTTATAAAGACAGTACATTCATTTTGTACCCAGCAAGCCCTAAAAAACGGTAGGGGTTGATCTCTAGGAGACTTAACTTGCCACCTCTGTTTTATAAGACCATCCCCCCTGAGTTTTACCTATCCAGTACCATCTCCTAAAAAGAACTGCCTCTCAGTATCAAAAGAATTGTGAAATGTTGGTAATGTGACAAATCTCCCATTGTTCCGCACTGGTGTAGGTTCGCTTGTCTGTGTTATTGATAAGTCCTTTAATTTCTCCTGACATATTAGCATAATTTCATGTGATACAGAAACATCTTAAATAGCAAATAAAAGTAAACTTCTGCATATGATCAGAAACCTTAGTGGGTTTTTAATAAATTAATTGAATAATCAAAAATGCAGCTGTGTCTTGCTTTGTGAATGGTGAATTTTTGAAAAGTACAATTACAAACTCTATTTGACATGCATTCTTTATTTGTATTGCTCCATCTCTCCAGTGAGCTTTTGCAACACAGGCTTTTTAATAATATACAGTTTTGATTTGTGTTGTATCCATTTTTGGATCTTGAATTGTATCATCAGCTTCATCGGATGTTTCAATTGTTGAATTTGATGCTGCGTTTGAATTGGGGGCTTTGGTTTTCCTGTTTGGGTTGCCTGCAAAACACAAAACAAAATGAAATAATTATTTGGAATTATGGCATAAAATTTGGCTTTTTAAGATGTGTGCTTAAAAAATACATTTTGGAGCAATATTGAAAATATGTCTTAAAAACGCTACGTGGATGAGTGAGAATTGAATCATTTCAAAGTTGTTTTTGTTTCCTTCTGAAAGTCAAATTAGGGAAATACTCAGTAACAGAAGTAAGAATTTCATTTTCATTTCCATGCTTACCCTTCTTTCTTCCATGTTTCCATGGAGGAAATTACACATTTGAGAAGAAGGTAACAATTTCTGGGTTACTTAATAAAAGTGTGACTGTCCCTGTGCATAAAAATGAACAAAACTATACTAAAGCTTATCTTAATAATTTGCAACACTCTTAAGGCTTTGCAATCATAATATGTTTAGATGTAGTGTTTAAAAAGAACACATTTGTGCCACAATCTCATTCACTCATTCCACGGAAATATGAGTCCAAAATGCACGAGGGTAGAGGAATATGGACCTTTGCTCATCACAAAAACTAAAGCTCACAGCAAAGAAATGGATTATTCTTCAAGAATGATTGTTAGAAAAGTTAAGGGGGTGCCTGGGTGGCTCAGTCAGTTAAGCATCCAACTCTTGATTTCAGCTCAAGTCATGATCGTGACATCAAGCCCTCACATCGGGCTCCGCACTCAGCGTGGAGTCTGCTTGAGATGCTCTAACTAACTAACTAACTAACTAACTAACTAACTAACTAACTAAATCTTTAAAAAAAGAAAAGTAATTGTATCATATAGCTCGCCAATATATACAAATTTAAATACTGTATAAATATGTAGAAGCACTGGATAAATCCCCGCTGTCACTAATGCCCTCCTGGTGCTGAATCCCTAGCCCAGTTCGTGGTCTGCATGCTGTATGACCTACTGGCAGCATTTTCTCTCGTTGGCCTCCAGGATATCACCCTTTCTTGACTCACCTCCTGTCTCCATTGCTTCTTCTCCATCTCTTGTTGGTCCCTTTTTTTCTCCAGGCCTCTTAGATTTAGGAGTGCCTCAGGGCTCAGCCTGTTGGTTCCTATCACCGTCTCCCTCCCTAATTAGTCTCATTTAGAAAAACATGCTCTGAACCTGCCTCGGACGAAGCAGAACCCACTGGCCAAGAGGTTCCACTATTAGAAACAGATCTTTCCTCTACCCTTTGCCACTTGCATAAGTCGATTCTCATCTTTCAGTGTGTTCATCCTGCCTGGCTTTGCCCATTTATAAATAACTGTACAGACTACTTTCCAGGCCCCATCAGAATACCCCCACTGTGGGTTGATTTCAGAATTCAACACTCACAGGGCAATATTATTTACAAGTTGTGAAGAACGGTGTTTCACTCCAGCTCCCAGATCATGCCCACAGAACTGAAATGTGGGTGGTATTGGTCTCTGAGCTCATCTTAAAATATCCTAAGTTTAAAGCATAGGGCCTAGAATCGTTCAGTAGATGGTTTTGTTTCATTACCCCTGAACCTCTGTGGTAGTAAAATAAATGTTCTCCTTCTCAACATTCAATCATAATGTTTCAACCATCTAATCTGATTTTTTAAAAGTTAATTTGTTGTAGGCACGACATTTTCTAGCCTGGCAAGTAGCTCTATGCCCAGTCAGCAATCATTCTCTGTTAAATGGAGTAGGGAAGGCTGGTATGAAAATCTAATAAACCGATACATTTGACTTGACTGTTACTTGCAAAGTGGAGTTTTAAAAAATAGTAGATAAAAATTTAGCTACTAAGCACTTAAGTAATGGAACTTATTCTCTGTGGGGGCCACTGAAACTGTTTTCCTCATGTAACATTAGAAAAATGACATTTTGAACCTAAAGATACATCCAGACTGAAAATGAAGGGATGGAGATCCATCTTCCATGCCAGTGGACCTCAAAAGAATGCTGGGGTAGCAATTCTTATATCAGACAAATTAGATTTTAAACTAAAGTCTGTAATAAGAGACACAGAAGGACACTATATCATTCTTAAAGGGTCTATCCAAAGAAGATCTAACAATTGTAAATATCTATGCCCCCAACTTGGGAGCTGCCATTTACATAAGCCAACTGTTAACCAAAATAAAGAGTCACATTGATAACAATACGTTAATTGTAGGAGACCTCAATACTCCACTCTCAGCAATGGACAGATCATCTAAGCAGAAAATCAACAAGGAAACAAGAGCTTTGAATGATAACATTGGACCAGAGGGACCTCATAGATATTTACAGAACATTCCACCCTAAAACAACAGAATACTCATTCTTCTCGAGTGCACATGGAACTTTCTCCAGAATAGACCACATACTGGGTCACAAATCAGGTCTCAACCGATACCAAAAGACTGAGATTATTCCCTGCATATTCTCAGACCACACTGCTTTAAAACTGGAACTCAATCACAAGAAAAAATTTGGCAGAAATTCAAACACTTGGAAGCTAAAGACCACTCTGCTCAAGAATGTTTGGGTCAACCAGGAAATCAAAGAAGAACTTAAACAATTCATGGAAATCAATGAGAACGAAAACACATCGGTCCAAAACCTATGGGATACTGCAAAGGTGGTCCTAAGGGGGAAATACATAGCCATCCAAGCCTCACTCAAAAAAATAGAAAAATCCCGAATTCACCAACTCACTCTACACCTTAAAGAACTAGAGAAAAAGCAACAAACGATGCCTAAGCCACGCATTAGAAGAGAAATAATTAAAATTAGAATAGAAATCAATGAATTAGAAACCAGAAACACAGTAGATCAGATCAACAAAACTAGAAGTTGGTTCTTTGAAAGAATTAATAAGATCAATAAACCACTGGCCAGACTTATCCAGAAGAAAAGGGAAAGGACCCAAATTAATAAAATTATGAATGAAAGGGGAGAGATTACGACTAACACCAAGGAAATAGAAACAATTATTAGAAATTATTATCAATAACTATATGCCAATAAACTGAGCAATCTGGATGAAATGGAGGCCTTCCTGGAAACCTATAAGCTGCCAAGACTGAAACAGGAAGAAATTGACAACCTGAATAGGCCAATAACCAGTAATGAGACTGAAGCAGTGATCAAAAACCTCCCAAAACACAAGAGTCCAGGGCCTGATGGATTCCCTGGGGAATTCTACCAAACTTTCAAAGAAGAAATAATACCTATTCTACTGAAGCTGTTTCAAAAAATAGAAACAGGGGCGCCTGGGTGGCTCAGTCGTTAAGCGTCTGCCTTCGGCTCAGGTCATGATCCCAGGGTCCTGGGATCGAGCCCTGCATCGGGCTCCCTGCTCTGTGGGAAGCCTGTTTCTCCCACTCCCACTCCCTCTGCTTGTGTTCCCTCTTTCGCTGTGTCTCTGTCAAATAAATAAATAAAATCTTTAAAAAAACCAAAAAAACCAAAAATAGAAACAGAAGGAAAACTTCCAAACTCATTCTATGAGGCCAGCATTACCTTAATCCCCAAACCAGGCAAAGACCCCATCAAAAAGGAGAATTTCAAACCGATATCCCTGATGAATATGGATTCCAAAATCCTCAACGAAATCCTAGCTAATAGGATCCAACAATACATTAAAAGGATCATCCACCACGACCAAGTGGGATTTATCCCTGGGATGCAAGGGTGGTTCAACATTTGCAAATCAATCAATGTGATAGAACACATTAATAAGAGGAGGGAGAAGAACCATATGGGCCTCTCAATTGATGCAGAAAAAGCATTCGACAAAATACAACATCCTTTCCTGATTAAAACTATCCAGAGTATAGGGATAGAGGGAACATTCCTCAAGCTCATAAAATCCATCTATGAAAAACCCACAGCGAATATCATCCTCAATGGGGAAAAGCTGAGAGCCTTTCCCTTAAGATCAGGAACACGTCAAGGGTGCCCACTCTGACCACTGTTGTTCAACATAGTACTAGAAGTCCTAGCAACAGCAATCAGACAACAAAAAGAAATAAAAGGTATTCAAATTGGCAAAGAAGAAGTCAAACTCTCTCTTTTCGCAGACGACGTGATACTTTATGTGGAAAACCCAAAAAACTCCACCCCCAAATTACTAGAATTCATCCAGCAATTCAGTAATGTGGCAGGATACAAAATCAATGCACAGAAATCAGTTGCTTTCTTATACACCAACAACACAACTGTAGAAAGAGAAATTAGAGAAACGATTCCATTTACAATAGCACCAAAAACCATAAGATACCTCGGAATAAACTTAACCAAAGAGGTAAAGGATCTATACTCTAGGAACTACAAAACACTCATGAAAGAAATTGAAGAAGACACAAAAAGATGGAAAAATATTCCATGTTCATGGATTGGAAGAATAAACATTGTTAAAATGTCTATGCTACCCAGAGCAATCTATACCTTCAATGCCATCCTGATAAAATTCCAATGACATTTTTCAAAGTGCTGGAACAAACAATCCTAAAATTTGTATGAAATCAGAAAAGACCCCGAATCACCAAGGAAATGTTGAAAATGAAAAACAAAGCTGGGGGCATCACGTTGCCCGATTTCAAGCTATATTACAAAGCTGTGATCACCAAGACAGACATATAGACCAATGGAACAGAATAGAGAACCCAGATATGGACCCTCAACTCTGTGGTCAAATAATCTTTGACAAAGCAGGAAAAAACATGCAATGGAAAAAAGACAGTCTCTTCAATAAATGGTGCTGGGAAAATTGGACAGCCACATGCAGAAGAATGAAACTCGACCATTCTCTAACACCATTCACAAAGATAAACTCAAAGTGGATGAAAGACCTCAATGTGAGACAGGAATCCATCAAAATCCTAGAGGAGAACATAGGCAGTAACCTCTTTGACATCGGCCACAGCAACTTCTTTCAAGATACATCTCCAAAAGGTAGTGAAACAAAAGCAAAAATGAACTTTCGGGACTTTGTCAAGATAAACAGCTTCTGCACAGTAAAGGAAACAGTCAACAAAACAAAGA